CTCTACTGCCAGTCTTGAACTGGATCTTTTGCGCTAATACATATAATGATCTGCCTCTCATTTGAGCCTATTTATAAGTAATTACAGTTTCTTTGCAAATATCAATATATTATACAAGCAGTATGCTAACGAAATGAGGTTCAACGCGACATTGGCCTGATGTAAATTCTACGTTGGTGATGAATTTTTCGGTTGCACATGTCCTCGGTCCGGTGGCCAGGCCAAAACAATGGTAGTCTTGGCGAAACACACCGAAGGGCACAAAAATGAAAAAGCCTGGTGTGGATGTGTTCTGTTTAGTTGTATAATACACATGCAATCGACTTTACTTGAATGTGCTACATGCTTTTGTTGTACAGCGTTTGTTTATCTAACAATTGCTAGGGTTTATGATTAGGTTTAGGAGGTAGACTTTAGGTTTAACAAGTTTTTCCAAACAGATTATTGTAAATCATTCAGTTGAGAAGTTTGATCGGTTTATGTCTAGGTTACATTCTACATGATTAGTAGCCATTGTAATTTTGGAATCAGCGACAACGTGCTTTTAATATTATTTCCTGGTTTGCCTGGCCGGCCGTCATCTATTCCTTAGGGTAGATCACGGCTGTCATCTTGCAACCGCCAAAACAAAAAAAAAAGATCAAGCTAAACTGGAATCGAAATATAGCATGCAGAACTTCTTTCAGCCCGACCAATCAAAAAATGAGTTCAATTTGAATAAGTACTTATTAAATAACCGCATCATTATTATTATAGTAATAAGGAATCTTTAATAAGTAGTAATAAGGAACTGATCATTATTTACAGGGATTTAAATTTTGCAACTTTACTGATTATTGGTTAAATACAAAGTAACCAGTTTTGGTAATGGTAGCTGGCGAACGCATGATCACCTCGCTGAACTGCATCATACCTAAATGCAAATTTAAACAACCTTTCTTTATTCTTTAGAGAAATCTATTGTCCTGTTAAAGGATCAATAATTCGTTGCCTTAGCCAGTCAAGGAACCGGCGGTCAGAGCACTTCTGCTCTCCTCTAGAGAACCCCGAGTTAACTTTCGTGCTTAAATTCTTAAGACAGACAGACGATCCCCTCTAGGATTTCAATAAGCTTTGGTCCCGGGGAGCGCGTAGGGCACCCTTTTTGCTTGCATACAGAAGAGGAGGTTTATCTCGATTACAGGCAAGTATAGCGTTTCCCGCAAGCCAGTATTTCTGCTGGTTGAAATAGAAGGGAATTCGAGCCTGGTTTTGCAGTACAGCGGTCAATCGGTTGCCTGTCTTGTGTGTACATTGTACGATCATTAGCTGTTAGTTGGGGTAAAAGAAGCATATACTCCGTCCAGCCTTCATGAATAAGGTAAGTGCGAATTGACCTCGAGCACTACACGTTAATGCTAGACGTCGCTTGTCGTCCGTCCTTTTTTCTTTGCAAGTAAAAAAACAACAGTTAGTCATGAAGTTTTTTCGTATATTTCAAGATAGGGTCAGCTTCGAATCCTGTCCAGGCTTTCTAATTTCTAGCTAATTCCTGATCGGGCCAAACAACTACAAACAAGTTATCGCATCTATTCTCGAAAATGGAACTTGCATGAACTTGACCCCGAATCTCATTCTGGTTTGTCGGTCATTTTTTAAAACAAGCAGCTAAAAAATTAAACATTGAGTGTTCGTGGCGGACAGACAGCTCTTTCTTTTCCAGAATAACGCGCGTGAACTTTATATCAATGCTATCTAAAAGCTGCTCATTTTATGATACATACAATCTTTTTGACAAGTAGGTTAAGCTAGAATTCGCATAAATCGTTTAGATAACACTTCAATTCATCATATTTTAGGATGCTTCAGGTACCTTGTCATTTTCTTGGATGCCATATCAGTTTAGTGCAATTCTAACGTTAAGCTGAAGTTTTTTTTTGCAAGTAGAATCGAGAACTATCTTCATCGTCTCTGTACGTTACCTATATCAATATAATACAGCAAATTGTAGAAACACGTTGTCCGACATCAGGGTTAAACGACAAGTCCACATGCCCACACTAGCGGCTATGACCTTGTTGTAGTGTTATATTTAAACTAGAATTATCGACAAAGGCCACACATATGAATAAAGCAATGATGAGTTATTAAGTAAGCATTGGTACTCACGTATCTCTCTGCTAAGAAGAGCTTCGGCAAATCTTCAGGGGTTTTTCTATCACTTCTATTTCAATTCAAAGCTGGTTTTAGATCAAGTAACAGAAACTCGTTCGGAATCTTATGGTTAGAAGGTTTGCTTAAATATATCTATCTTTATTTGGTGTTAAGGAAAATTGAATAAAACATATTTTTATAATGAATAAGGAAGCTTATTGTTAAATTGAACCCTTTTACAAAAAAAAAAAAAAGTAAACAAAACCAATGAAAAAACCGAGTGTTTCTTTCTAATATACACTGAACAAGCATTCGTTGCAAGTACTTACAAATGCTTATTGCTAATACTTACGCGTCTGAATAAACTATAAGAACAACAAGCACGTATTGGTTTTATGAAAGAGATATTTCAGAGACGATGTTTGTTCTAGAGGAGAACCCATTTCAACTGCGCAGTCGTCTGATCCGGGTTGTGCCTGAATCGCTTTTTAGCTTAGCAATAACACCAGCAAAACCTGTACCTTTTATTTTTCCATAAGTAGCCTAGGTACAAATGTCGAAAACGCAGTTCTAGTAGAGACTTGTTATAAGAAAAAAGCTATATTTCCCAAGAACGTGATCGAAATGAAGAAAAAATGCTAAGCTGAAGTGTGATTTTCGCTAAACCAAAGGCAACTGCCGAGAATATTTGAGCTTCACTTTGAGCGAACGTTTTGTTAGCAGTAAACGGCCTGTGTAAAAGAATTGTTGTGAAGACGTTTATTTTGGCCTACTAAGTTAAGCTGTTACAAATAGCAACTTGTCGATCAACAACTAGTCACATCCAAACAGCACCATGTACCCGAAATCTTTACACGGCTTCGTAATAATTAGAAGAACATCGGTTCTTCATACGGAACATCCTGACCTGTGCCACTGATCGCTTGCCTAAGCTAACAATACATTCCCCATAGATGGGGAAGTCACGCCGATTCTGTTTCAGAAGGTTACATGTTGTTAATGTTAGGCTCTTTTTCCTACTGTTAAAGGCTTTCTGCTGTAGCCAGATTAAGTACCAGTGCGGCATGGCATCTTTCCGTCGTCGAAATATTAGTAAATTGAAATTTTCTCCGTTCATTCTGACCTCTAGCAGGTGGAACTGTCCGCTTGCGGATGAAATCGATGACTACAATCGTCGTCACCTAAAACCTGTTATAGAAATAATCATCTCTCCGGGCAGCGTTATGGAAGTATTCTATTCTGCTTTAAATCTATCGAGTGCACCTTTGAATAGTGCAAAGCCCGCTGGAGAGGTCTCAAACTTGATCTAAATGAACATTATGTTCAGAGCTGGTAAAAAGGAATTTTAATTGCTTGTGGCCTGAAATACGTAAACGATTGTACTTAGGAGCACGTGGGAGTCAAGAACCGAAGTCGGGCTAAGCCCGGCTGTACCTGCACCTCATTTTATCTCAGAAAGGACCTGCTATCTGGAGTAATGTTTAACTAAGGTAATACTAGACGTGAAAAATTGGTTGATGAAGACAGGCTGTATTGACAGAAAAAAAGGTTACCTTTAGAATCTCGAACCTAACCCAATCTGAGATTTAGAAAGGCGATACAAATGCACGTGGTTCAAAATCAAATATTTTTACTATAATTGGCGTGTTCCCTTCAAATCGAGGCCTCTTCTCCGAACCGCGTGCGACGTTGACGACCAACGTTACAATCTGCAAGTTAGAGATTTGTCAATTCCATTACATTCATACATTAAAACCTGTTCTATACCCTGCAGTCGTCAAATGTTTGCATCCTGATTAGAGGTGGCGGAAACACGCCTGCCGGCCCTACTTCTGTATTTACTTTCAAGATCATTTAAAGTGATTTATTCTGGTTCTGAGCTGTATTTTTGATGCTTTTGAAAAAGGACTTGCCACCTTTTAACAATTAGCCAATGACTGATATATTTCGGTGCTCGGACTAAGTTGGCGCAGACAACCTGGTGCTGTTCACGGCATTATCATCCAGAGCCTTAAAAGTACTTAAGCTCAAACGTCTTTCACAGTGACAAACGTCTTTGTTACTGCGTTCATAATGCCCGTCTGTCTCTGTCATAAATCGATTATTATACACGTGTATATTGTCAAAAAAAAAACGCGAATTCGTGAGTAACTTGTTTCTATCCAGTATGCTAGAGTAGTGAACTTAGATCTAGCAGTTTTGGCTCACGCATTTGCGGCTTTTTGAAGGCGTTGCGGGATTCCGCATACAAAGCAACTATTGTCTTCAGGTAGAGCCATTTACTTCGTAGCGTGACGACTGCTTAGCTTATTCACCCCAAAAAAATCGATCAGATATGCAGATAGTTAAGTTAGACAAAGTCATTCCGCTATTCATTTTTACATGTTCGTATTAATTGATGGCAATAAACCCGCAGCTGGTCGTTCAACTTCTCGCAGGATTCAGACATAACGAAAAGCGTAACCTCCAATGGATTTGTCAGCGAACTGGGAGGGTGTAGTTGTATTTCGTAATCTCTTTCCGTCAACTATATAATGTGACCATTCCAAAGATATTTTAATGCAAAGGTATAACGTGTGCGGCCACCGTTCTCATTGCACACATCATCATCATCATCTGTGACTTATTTGTCAAACACAGTTTGCACACTATATGCTACCGTTAGATAACATCATCGGCTCTAAGGTCGTATTAGACTTTATTGCTAGCCATTGAAGGCGTGAGGTACATGGACTCGGCCAACATGACAACCTCAATCTAAGCTCCTGTCGGACATAGTCGTTTCAATATAGTGAGTAGATCTGTCTTATCACTGTTAGCTCGCTATAAATCCTGTAATCTAATGAACGCCAACAACGAATGCAGAATGTGCTTGCCTAACCGTATCAGTTACCCCCGCAAAAGGAGCGAAAAATTAAGACCCAAGAATCGATGAGCCTTTGATGACAAAAGGATCACTCAACGTGACTAAGGTAGAGGTGCATAATGCGTACACATTTGAATACATTGCCATGCTAAACATGCGTTGCTGGTTGACATTTCAGCCTCGACAAATGCTTGTAATCACATCGTTTTATAAGCTTATTGGAAAAAAACACAGATCCAGCAAGACTATGTAATCTCGAGCCTCTAGTTGAGGCCAGTCCCTGATCCTATACCGAAGAAATGGATCTGAGGACTTCTTCACACAATAATATTAGCGAAAGATGGTAGAAGTACGATTAAGGTTGTAAAACCTGCGTAATTCGTTTAAGACAAAGAGAAATAAAACGTACGCGGCGTACGCACGTACATATATATATATATATATATATATATGTATATATAACGCGGTTTTCAATTCAACCTAAAATCACTCTTGGCACGTAGCAAACGGGATTAGCACGTCTCCATGATCGTCAAGTGTTATTAGGTGTGGCAGATAAACTAAAAATACGTGACGAGATGGGATCGTGGATTAAAATTAAAAAAGACCCACAGTTCGGTTTGTACTAAGGGGGATCATTGGCTGTTTCAACGACCATATGGTGTTGCGCAATACGATTGGGTTGATGATTGCTAAACACAAAACATTGCATATGCCATGACAGCAATAGTCTTTTAGAACGAACACGAGTCTAAGAAAAGCCAGCGTCTCGGACAATATGTTATCTTAACTGCCACATGGCAAATACAAATTTTTCTTTGGTCAAAAAATGTGGGTCGATAAAAATGTGCTATCCATTCCTTAACATTGAACCTATAGACATTCCTTTACTGTACCCATTAAAATAACCGGTCCTTGTAAAAAGTTACTGTTCCTTTAATTAAACGTAAATTTTATGGCCACATAATAACGTTTAAATGAGGTTATAACACTTAAATTTGTATAAAAATTTAGTAAATGGTCGAATTGATCGGTGGTGGTAGGTTTAGCGTTGTATGTGTCTGTCGCCTGAAATCACTTATGATCGGGGCAGAGTGAGAGGTAAGACAGAATTAAAGTAAGATTACCAATGCAAACTTTAAAGGGAAATAATAACAAATTATAAATAATATTTTTCTTCACAAAAGGAATAACTTCTTTTAAAGGTCTCACGAACAGTGAGCGCAAGTGTACAGTGATACTGATTTCTCCCAATCTTTTTAACTGTATATTTCAATAATTTCAGTCACTCAAGTAGTAGGATAATTTTTAGTATTTTCTCTTGAGTACGTTACCAACAAATCTGTAAATTAATTATTAATTAAAAAATTAATTACGATTAAAAACAAGAAAACAGGCTAAAAGGTTCAGATACTATTTTTTATCGTTTTTTTTTTCATTATTCTTTTTCATGGTCAGATCGCTAACGCATTCGGCCTGTCGCAAAGCATCCTAATAGAGCGACAACTGGGACAAACATCCTGCTCGATTTTATAATCCAATATCAGGTCAATGGCCCTTTGAACTATCAAAACAGGACCAGGCTATGTTCTGGTCTATTTGTGTCCTATATCAAGCGTACCCTTATCTCGCTCAGCTAAGCACGAAGTAGCATTATTTAACTTTATATTTAAACACGCCTGTTTGACCGCCTGCCCCGTTCAAATCCTTTGTGCTTGTTTCTGCACGGTTTATGCCTATCTGCATCGGCAGGGCATTGGTTACCCGTCTGTTAAATAAACAAAGCCACACGACCGATTCTTGTCTATCACTTACAGCGTCTCGCCTTCGTCTTAACGTTGAACTGATTATTCCTATCTGTAATCAGTTGTGCGTCTGCTTTTCAGGCTACAGTCTCTACTTAGTAACGCGAGTGTCGTAGGGGTTTGGTACTTTGACCTATCCACATTTTACAATTTAGGGGTCGCGGCCACCTAAATTGGATATTGGAAATGTTATGGGACTCTAACTGAATTGCTATCTTTTTCAAGGCGGAGTTTTGAACGTAAATGGCTAAAGGTGAATTACTTGTTCCGTTAGCAATAAGTTCTATTTGAATAGGGTACATCGATATTAAGGAACCGCCTGGGTTGGATTATTTTGGAACTATTCTGTTAACGCTGCATAAGGGCTTAGATAGAAATTAGGCCAGTGTTGAGATTAAAAATGGTACGAAAGTGCTACGGAGTTTTTGAATGTCACCGATCCTATCACAGTAGAGATCACTTTGTCTCTCAGATACGTTTTTACGTACTAAGTTTGGTTTAGAAGTCACAAAGCAACTATATAATATATTAGAAAACTTCAATTCTACCCGCAGTCTTTCATTATTTGTCTACAAATTGTATCATAATGATTTTCGTGATTGAATAGATCCCGTTCCAAAACGGTAGAATACCGCGGTGCAGTTCCGTACTGTCGGATGCGTACCCCATGAACTCGAGCACTCCTATTTTCTACCAGTACTAGCAGTTTAACTTTAAGGATTATGTACACGTTATAGTAAAGAAGATTAGAAAAAAAAAACGAAATCGCTAACAGTTTTTATCCTATTCAACCGCACATTTGCGTAGATCCACGGGAGCAGACTCAGTTTAGCCGAGTTTTTGCAAACCGACTTCTTTTGAAGACCACGCAAAACTCAGTGCTTTCAATTTCCTTTGAGCAGCAGTGTCCAGGTCTTCGACAGTTCCTCATCGAATGTGATTTATCGAAAGATATGAAAGGCATTTGGCGAGTACTGGATCTTCAACATTACCTCCGTAGCAGAACTTCTGCTGGCCATGATGCGTGTAGATAAGGAAAATTACAGCAGTAACAGTCAGCGCGGCCTTTCAGTCTTGGCTTACCCGAGTAAGTACCAAAAGGTACTACAATAACCGAGGAGACAATGATTTTCACTTGGCCTTGACTTCCTTTATCTGTCTGTCGCACATAAACGTGGTAGCCAGTTATGGAACTGTGGACAAAAAATTTCAATAACGAAGAAAGGAGAACGGCACCACGTTATTTGGGCTCAACGGAGAACAGTACAGAGCTAGACATATACACCTAGAGGCTAAAAATGGCGGCCAATCAGATTTCATTAGGTGTCAACGAACGTCTATTTGATGTTATTAATTTCTCAGATTTTTGGTTGCCCTAACTCATTAGCTAAGAACATTGACTGGCGCTTAAAACAGAACGTGAGTTTAGCTTTCCAAGTTGAACACTTTGATAACAAGCAGGTGTAATAAGATTATTAAAATTTGAGCAAATTTACACGCACATGGTATTTTTTAACACAGTTCAGTGATGACTGGGGCCCTTTCTCTTTTTCCTAGGGTCGTAACATACCGCTGTAGATTTTAATCGCGCATTACAAAGCCGCAAAAGATTGACGCCGTAGCTCCCTTACCTTAGAGACAAGGGAAGAGTGATGCAGATACTTTTTTTCATAGATTTACGTAAGAACACATGACTCCAAGAATACCTGCCCATCTGATGTAGGTGGCTATAGGATTGCAGAAGCTATTTTTTGGTGTTTTTCGATGTACTCTTATATATATATATATATATGCGCGGTATTTTATTGTTGTATGTTCTTGTTATCCTTTATCGATGGAGAGGAGACGTATGTATGTATGTGCTGCTACCACAGAGAACCTCTAGACAAAAAAAAAAAACACGAAACGATTGATACATACCCATTCAAGTTATTCCATAGCGAGCTAAGCGTCGACAGTCTTCAAAGTTCTCTATACACAAACGTGAGAACACCGTACTGTTGTACTGAACGAAAACAAAGAAAAGCCCCCGTCCTTAACTAACCGTACTGCTTATGGCTAAGTCTACAAATCTCGTATTTACCACCACTGACCTATTATTGGCTATCGCTTCAGAATTCGCTATACAGACAGTCTCATTACTAACCAAATAATGGTCAAATCATGACGCATGATAAGTCCTGCTTGATAGCAGAACACTGAAAAATCCTATTTCGACATACAGAAGTAAACGTTTTTACTTTTAGAGTAATATACTGTGTTGTCAAAATTATGATAGGAAGTTGCTAGTTCGTTGATATCATTTTGTTGCTACATTTTAATAGTTTTAAAAGAAAAAACACTTTTAAATACATGTTCAATTTACCATAATGTATGAGTGTACATGTGATCGATGTTCGCGAACAAACCAGTTGGGTCGTTAGATAAACTAGATAATATATGCAAATTTTAGGCTAACATCCGTCCGACTAGTTATGGTATGGAAAATGGTTCCTGAATAATCAGACGGTGCAGTTCGTATTTTCCAACCTTAAAAATTAGTTTTCTGAGTGAAAAATGCAATAGTATATGGCTGCATAGTAAAATGATGCTACAAGCTGTTTACGTTACGCTCTTTTTTCAACTGAAACCAATGTGAAAAGTACTAATCAATCGATGTCTTTTGACTAATACAACTCCGATATCCTCCTGCCTTTCAAAGATAGATAGACAAAAGCATAGGCGGCGCTTACATTCAATATAACACAGTAAGTATACTAGAAACGCATACCATACGGTCTCTCGTCATTTTCTAAATATAACGTCCATATTAGAGTAAGTATAGCGAGGAAATAGGCTACCTAGATGTGAGTAGATTTTCGCTAGCCACATGAATATAATGTAAAATAGGGAACTTCGTTTCGTGCTGGGAGCCTGATGATACGCCTAACAACGATATCGGACGTAGAACTCCAAATATGGAGGCAGATCAAATCAACTGCGAGTGACTCGCGTAAGTATTAATGTAAAAACATCTTCACATAAGATACGTATACATAAAGTTTATTGCTTGTTGAAAACTCTGAATAATTTCGGGTAATTTGAAGTTCGTTAACATTATGTTCCGCACTAAATACCACTGCATTAACGATTATGATAGTTCTGTCATCAAGTGCACCCTTCGCCGTCGGTCGACCGAATCCGCCGAAGCACCTACTCCGGGTTACTCGGCCAATGAGCCTACCTTCACTGACTCGATAGATTGCAGCTGTTTATCAAAATATGTGAACAGAATTCGATCCAATCTGTCCCCCTTCCTGTACCAGCCAGCGTCTATCAGCTGCATGAAAGCTCCAAAACGCTCCATATAGTTCTACTCCAGTGCACCAAAGCACCAGTATGCTAGTACATCTAACTAGGCTCCGTACGACGGTTGGCCTTAGCTAGCAAGGGGCTACGAGCGCTGGGTGATGGTTTATTAGTCTGACTCATTAATGGTCATGGGACGCCGATTCACAACGTGCAAGCTGCCACGAATGATCGACTGGATCCGTTTGTTTTATCCGATTACACGGAAGGCAGTTAATTTAGATCATTCCTGAAACAATCTTCGGTTGAAACAACAATGATTAACGGTAATTATTTTTAAGGCCAAAGCACCGCGTTCATCAAGCAGCGGCACGGATTTTTTGATTCGTCATTTCAGTTATTCGAGAAGGAAGTTCGCTAATACGTCCTGCTTTGTTCGGATCAATGTAATTACTAAGACGCAAAAAAAAAGATGATTGTTGACGTTTATTTGTTTTCTTTGCTTCACTTATTTCTTACGCAGGCCGGAATAATTAGCAGCCACGGTATCGTGTCGTCTTCAAGGAGATATACACACGGACCGTTTACGTGGTAACTGTACAACAACACAAGCCAACCGGATTCAACAATTCGCTCTAATCATTTCTTAATTCTTTCACACCAGGCACCACGTCCTTTGACACGCAGCTCCGAAGCTGCCTCGCTTGCTTCTCTATTTAATTTGGAGATTACCAAGTAAGGAAGTCGAAATTTGTTTAGGGATGGATGGAGCTGGTCTTCCAAAGCATAACGCTTATATATTCCAGAGGGTATCTTGCAGAAAGGATCTTCACAATCCCATGTTTTTCGATCACCGTTTGCCTGCTAAAAGCAGCTAAAATATGTCGCTGCATTTAATGTCGAAACAGTTTACTGATTATGCTAAACGAAGTCATCTTTAGATGAACCGCTCGTCCGCATGAATTCCGTCTCCGCCCATTTCCCTTTGTAACAGCTGTTACCAGTCCATTGGGCGTAAGGTACAGATTTTTTTCGCTTCAGCTTCTATGGAAAACAAATCGCAGGACGAAGATCACACACACACACACACACACACACACACACACACACACACACACACACACACACACACACACACACACACACACACACACACACACACACACACACACACACACACACACACACACACACACACACACACACACACACACACACACACACATACACACACACACACACACACAGAACAAATCTTTGCTCAAACCTTTGTCTCTAAATAGATCTTTGTCTGTCTTTGAAAATCTCTTACCAATATGTTGGAAACATCTTTTTCTTTACCCATCGCCAGACACTAGAAGCCATAAAGAGTTTGAAGCCGTACATGAAGAACATACGAGACGATCGAACGCTCCTCTCGAGCTACACAGAAATTCCCAGTTGGGTAAGCTTTGTAGAGTCATATTATAAATACGGCTCGAACAACTTTCAAGCCGACTATTTCATAGGTTACTTTACAATAGAGTGAACTGTACAGTAATGCTACGACGGTTCTGTTGTCATAGTAACAGCAGCGTCCGTCTCGAATGAGATAATAACACCGTATATGTTGAAAGAAGACCTTATCAAGTGAACCCAATGGATAATACGCGAAAAATGTTCATATCTGTATTGTGCTATTCAATTTCGAAGTAAATCCAGTTTTACATCCGGTATGCCATAAATAGACTGTAACACGAAGAGCAAATAAAATCCATTATTCCTATTATCCAATTGCTAAAGCGCTTAACCGTCCCTTTAAGAAGTCGCAGTTCACATGTATTATAACTCAGCACATTGCTAATATCATAAGTGCTTCACACCAAATAACAACCCATTTAGCAGATGACTATGGGTCACAACAGTATACAATAGAGCGAGGCGTTAACATCCCCACAAAAGCTCGGAGCTTCTAGTTTCAACGACGTACACGTCAATTGAAAGAACCTCACGAGCGAACGCTGCAATGATATCAAACTGCTAGCGCCTGACCCGAAGCCGTCTGCTCTGTTCCGTTACGAAGGCTGACGAACGATGTCGTTGTTCCTTTTTGCCGCATAACAGCCACCACGCCAACGTATGCCTTCCGGAGCATGGGTCGGGGCACAACATCCGGAAACCGAAGCTGCCAGACAGATAGGCACATATATGGGTCCACGGTCTGTCGCAAAAGCGAAACATGGCACCACGATCAGACACCAACAACCAAAACGACCGAAAAACAGTCGACGCGAATAACGGATAAAGGGATATGGAACGAAGCGTAGCCAGTCGCCAGTGAGACGGTAAAACTCCTGTAACGGAAACAACAGTAGTACAACTAACCGGCGAAGATAGACTCCTACCAGGGATAGCGTCGTGGCGAAAGTCAAGAGCAAAGGAGCATGGTACTCGATAAGGAACCCCACGGTGGAGCGGAAGAGCCGACCACTGTGGCCTTTTTCATAGGACACACGCAGTCCCCATGAAGCCGTTCCCACGCTGTGACGATGGCCGCTGGACGGTGGCCCGTGCTGGCATGCGAAAATGGGGCGTCAAAAAAATAAAACGAGAAGCTGTTCCGATAACGAAACGGTAATATATGTTACTGGGTAAAGAGACAGATGTGTTATACGAATTCTGTTAAGGTGAAAAATTCTAATTTTCCTATTTAAAATTTTGAAACTCGTTAATTATAACATGCTCTAACAATATGATATTTTATGTAGCCGAGTTGGTGTCATTTATTATTATTATTATTATTAATGTCGTTCCATATTTGTTTAGGTATTTAATATTCGGCAGTTGTCACTGAACATGCACGGCTGAAAAAACTGAAGTTAGCAAGAAGTAAATAAATTCAAAAAGATATAATCATCATAAACTAAAGCCATAGCATGTTGGTTTGGAAAACAGAAGTGTTCGTATCTATTATCCACCTATGCGGTGCCGCGCTAAGCATACAAAAACGAATGTCTATGGAGACTTCCTTTGCGTCTACGTATGACCAATTACTTACCGAGGGAAATAAAAGCCAGTAGGACTGCCGCGAAAGCTCGCTTGTCGCGAAGCTCGATAAGATTTTGGCTTTATGCTAAGAAAACTTCTTACGCCTCAGTTACAGTCTCGTTGTTTATACTGATCACAGATGGAACTCGGGACACGGTATTCTCTACCGTAAATTGCCCCACCTTAACATTGCCGTGATGAAAAGTACAAAAGAACGCCAACAATGAAGGAAGCACGACCTCCAAATTGTCTGCTCGATTACGGGGTAAATTACAGCCATATAAAGCTTTCTACCTTCTAGCCTCTAACTAATTAGAGGGAATTTTCTAATTTTTTTTGTACCTGTTCATCATTATTCAACAAGCAGGTAATAATTACTTTGTTGATTGAGATACTCACACACCAATGGAGCTTCGCCATCAGTTGTTGATCATGATTTGAAAATGACGCTAAATTTTGCCCGCTCACCTGTTTGAGTTAGCCGCGTGTAAATATTTGCAGCTTCAATTGACTCGATTTAAGCTTGCGTGAGCGTTTGTCACCCGACGGGAGAAAAGCAGAACCCGCCTACGCTCCTGCCTACGCCGATACGTTCACTAGACATTCACAGACAAATTTCCCTACTTGTGAACCGACGTAAATCCGCAGGTGACAGCAGAAGTCGAGTAGGAGGTATCTGCCTACAAGGCAACGGCTCATCAGTCATCTGGCCCGAACGTAGGCAGTCTCGACGAGGGCGGAGCTGGGTAGCCTCAAATGAATGACTTGGTCTCAGTATAGACCATTGACACTGTCGGGCATTCAATGCGGAACATTCGTACAGGTCAGAGATTAGTCGAACGTGGTACGGAGAGCCTTAAAAGAGCCTTATCAAATGAAATTTTAGAATAGAGCTTTTTGAATGAATAAACGTGTTAGATGTATCGACTACAAACGCATGTATATATATATATATATATATATATATATAGATATATATATATTATAGTGTAGCTTAGCACTACAAAGTAGAAGCAACTGATTTTATTCACATGTAACAATACAGTCAATAAGAGTATCCATATAATCGTAATAACGATTAAAACACTACAGGGAATCGTTCCTATCTACTGTTTCGTATTCAATGAAGGTGTGCGCATGTGCTTCTTCAAAGAAAAGCTTACGTCCCAAAACATGATCAAAATTTTCTATTTCTTAGCTGCGGCATCGAGTGGCGAAACACCTCGTCCAAACAAAGTAAATCGTCTTTCCGACTAGCAGGACCAACGGGATGTCCAATGCGCCTGAGTGATCCAGTGATGATCGCCTCTCAGCCGTTGAAAGCGCCAGGAATGTATTCAGAAATGCTTTCACATCTGATACAGCTCGACTTAGTGTTGGCTTTACTCAGTTGAATAGCACATCCTGCCATACATTAAAGCAGACACGGTGAAAGGCGTGCTCTAGAGCCCGCCTGATCTTGTCCTTTAACAGTCATCAATGAGCGAACGACAGAGACAGTATTACACAGCTGAATTTCAATGGACGACAATAGAGGTTTGTTTACGGGCATATTCTGCTAGATGCATCCATTCAACCGCATTTCAGCTTCGACTCGAAACAGTAACTTCCCCAATTCTTTTGAAGGTTTTTGATAAAGCGGTCATCAATAACTAATGGTTTCCCCGATTCCGTCAATTTTTCAGTCGCATTATAAGCAATGCGGTAAACAACTGGCAACGGATAGTGCTGCGTTTTCATTGAAATAGCCCCGATTCATTTTATTTAGTTAACACAGTATTCGAAATTATCATTTTGACGCTCTATATCTATTGCGAAACAGTCTGGCACACATAAAAGTGTGTGTCGTATATACTAAACAACGGCAAGCGCAGCTTCGGTTCTTTATGCAAAGCCTATCCTTCCAAGTCTGGACTTATCCGACACAATGACTTCACTATAGTTTGTAAGGACTTACACTATTCGTGTAGCCTTTGCTTGTTGCACGTTCGGCATCATTTGTACGTGCTAGTATTGGATTTACCGTGAAAGCATGGATAGAGCCTATGCAATTGCTTTCAGAAAAATTGCATAACCTCTCGCCTTGCGTAAAGCGTCAAAAACGCCTCGGGTACACAAGCAGATAGCAACCTTCTTCTTCTTCCCTCTGTTAAATTGGTACGCCATTTTGTTACACAGTACCCCCAGTAGTAGAGATCCCTCTTTTGTACTGCTCCCTGTACGAATTCCCGTTTACAATGTGTTCCACATCATCATGCCGAAACGCTATAGAAATACGAAATCTTAACTTTTCGTCACTTCTTCGTCATATTCGACTTCACTATGCCTCCAATTTCGCAACGTAACCATGATGATATGTGTAAGGACGGTCATAAAAGCATGAACGACCAGCTCTCATTTTTCGTCTTTTACATATATTTTGGGACGATATGATGCTCTCCTCCTCCCCTGTTTAGTCCAATCAGAAATCGAGCAGGACTTTCCCTTTTACGCAGATTCGTTTACCTTTCTGCACTGTGCAGGGTGATTCCGTAGACTCATTTCACACGACTCAGAGAGTTATCGTCCTGACCATAAATTAATCTCTGGGTAATGTCGGCCAGTGGTCCGTGATAAGCTCGCTTGTGTCATCGTCGGCAAGGCGTCATTACATATAACGGAAGCTATCTGTTTAGCCAGGTTACTATAATGGGCTCGGCTGTATGTGTCTGTCTGCGAGTAGTTCCATTGCATTTGTGCAAGCTTATTATTATCAGTTCTGTCGCCGATGAGTATAACAGCGTTTTCTGCTTCCTGCTTACGACTCGGATGGCGGTAGTATCTCATCTTGCCCCTGTCTGGGTGGATTAATTTTCATAGAAGTGGAATGAGGGGTAGATCCACTGATTAGCCAATTTACTAGCTAGTAATATAGTGGACCAGGCGAGATCTCTCTCGCTACACCCTGCGTCTGTTTGTCTCTCCGATAATTCCTTCCCTTGTTGTTATAATTCCCTCATAAAGGCGCGATGCTGCTTCCACCAGGTAAACAATGAAGATTAGGCAGACAAAGGTATGGACGAGCTAGAATAGGGAACTGGCTGGAGTATTACGAGATCTGCGCAATGCAACAATTGAAGATGCATACGTTGAGAGCTGAAGTAACAGCTTGGCTAAATGATATTTGTCAGTTATTTGTAGCGGATTGCGATGAAAGAAGATCTGATTATTCATTGGAGAGCTTGAGATGGAAACTTCGGATGTACGCTCGTTGTTTCTTGCTATTATAGTACGCGTCAGAGCATTACATGGGCTTTGCTATAGCTAGATGAATCTAGCAAAAGCTACTGTTGCTTGTGCTAGCCAGGAAATAAGAGAACAATCATGGCGTTCATGCTCCATCAGTTCCTTTTTATACATACAATAGTTCGATAAACACAAACAGTAGAGAATAAATGCTTCGGTTTTTCATGTCTGATACTTCCGTTAGCTATTCAGGTACTCCAGATGGCTCGCTTTTCCCAGCGCAGAAAAATATGGTCCTATGCGCCACTGGTTTCGAAGTCGTACGTCGGGTAGTTAAAGCGTTCAGCATTGCTTCAGACAGTTGATCCTTTTTAGGGTGAAGCGAAGTGTGATTACGCCCGACCTCACACTTAGGTCGGCAAAGGCATTACTACTGCTCCATCTCGAAAATCAATCATAAAGCCGTTCTTTATTTTGTTTTTTTATTTGGGATATTAAGGATTTGGTGCTTAACCGTAGTGTAATCTTTGCGTCTAAGGTACTTTTCATATGTATGGGGCTTCGACCCATTAAAGCTTCGGGTCTTTATAACTTGGGCCGTTATCGATTTCGAACCTAGACCACCTCTCTCTATTTTCCAAGTTTATATCTGGTATCGCCCTTAGGAACCTAAAGTATATGTAAATTTTGTGTAGTTATTCATTACCGTTGCACTATAATGAACAGACAGCACAAGTGTTGCAAAACTGATTTCTACACACGGTCTGTAGCCTAGATCACCTGAAATGACTTATACAACTAATTTAAGCGCCAGTTGCGTATGGCACGAGTTGCAGTTATTACGAAACGCTACCATCAATCGTTGGACCTGTTTAATACAGGTTACAGTAGGGACAGCCGATGGAACCCTTGGCTTACTACCTCTACTCTTTATATCGGTGTTGTTTCTTCTCTAACAAACCGATTATAATTGCCAACTTGGTAGGTTAGAGTAGTTTGCCCTAAGGGCAACGATGACCGGGTCACGTCCTCGCAACTCTGCATACAGGAATCGATCTTAGCCAACAAACCCAAAAGGTTTGCTAAATATGTAAAAAATCTGATGGATCTATCTAATCTTACGCGTGGATATTTCTACTAGGTAGAATTTTAGCTTTTCATGGGTTTGAACTCCATTTGATAGGATATAAATGGCAAATTTTAGATGTTCAAGTTAGAAAACAAAATAGTTGTTTTGATTAATCAGGTTGGTGACCGGTATATTTCGAAGGCCGTAGAACGGCGTCTCCCAACAAAACGATCATCAAGCAAATATGATCCTAATAGGTCATATGTTCGTGGATGTTGGTGGCTACGTCAATATATATGGACGTTTAAGCATAATGTTGGTGAGCTAGTAGAATGACATTACAATGCATATAATCCGACCTCCCCACTCACGGGGGCACAATAACCTTGCTTCTATCGACAACTGCACCATTTTGAATCAACAATCAAACGCTTTGCCCGCATTCTAGCCGGCAATGTATCGACAATAGTTATTGGTAAGGGACTATCGGCCTTTCTTATTCGGGTTGTTGTCTGCAAAGCCTATCCAGATTTAACTCTGGCCCCCTTCCAGGTACCACAGCAACGTCTTTAAGCCTCCTCGTTTTGTCGTTACTTCGATGCTATGTCGCTCCCCTTAACGCGTGATTCATACGCTTAGCATGCATTAGAAGAGCATTAGCTATGACGTGCGATCCAAAGGACCGTACAGGTCAGAATGTTTTCGAATGCTGTTCTCTTCGTAAAGCTTCTTTCTGTCCGGACATAACGTGGTGGTTTTCTTCCTATGCCCTTTCAGTTATTGAGAGACCCTAAGGATCGCACACGGGGTCCCGAACCTGGCCTTTGACTCTTTGCACGTCTTCGTTTTTAAATTATTGAGCACTATTTCAGACACTGCGGAACACAGGGGAACGATGTTGTTGGGAACCAGCTAAATGTAGACGGTAGAATATCGTTTACCTCCACCGGATGTGTAGCAAACATATATATATATATATATATATGTAGGAAGAGTGTCAAATACTGTATGTATGTCGCTAATAGCCAGTCACTCAGACAGGGAGAAAAGGCAGAGCAATATTTACAAGTGGCAAATAAAGACGGGACGAAATTGAGAAAGGACGATAGTTCTCGTCCTATTAATCAAAACAAGCGCAAAACTTTTCCAACACGCACTGACATCTACTTCTGAATAGCGCTGCTAGACGCGTCGAGGTAATTGTGGAAACAGCGCGAAGTGTGAAGCCTTGAAAATCTTTACTATGAAACAAACAAGTTACAGAATTACATCTACATGTTTCTATTTTTGTTGCTGATCGATATTCGTTACGTAGCTAATATGTTTAAAGGCCTTCCCTCTTTTGAGGTGCTTAAGCGGAAAAACGAATTTTAGCTCACACTTATTTTCCCCTAAAAATAATAATAATAATAATAAATAAATAATAGCACCAACTGCTTACATGCTTTAGTGAATGAGAAGTGCGCATTCCAATTATTAGGTCGTGGATTATCAGATAATACTGAATCTCATTTCAATA